TAACAACTAGAACAACACCTGTGATGAATGGAGCTCTACTTGACATGAGGGCCCAGGCCTGGAAGGTGGTCTTTGTGCAACTCTTTTACAAATGCCTTCTATGAACCTGAAAGAACGAATTAAGAATTTGTAATGATTTCATACCTTGTATTTTAAACAAAAAAATATAAATAAATATTAACTCACTTGTCACTTAGTAGAGATTGTCACACCTTTCCAGTCCTAAGATCTATTTCTGTTCATTGTTTGCAGGACTGGAGGCCTTTCTAAAATATCTATAGTCCTCTGGATGTAACTCTCAATACCTGCAGGAAAATGTAATAAGGGCCTATGAAATAAAGTCCTCTATCGGGTGTTAGAGAAAAAAATATCCTCAACATTTCTTGCAAGGTTTAGGGGATAGGCTACAGTTGTCCAGAAATGGCGTTCAATCAGGGAATCTCATTCGTAATGAAACGAGATAGATTAAACTTTAGTGTAGTGAGTTGTTTTTTCTTTGATGCAATCTGAATTCAGCTTGTAACCTTCTATCTTGACTTGAGATTCTCGGTATTCCCATTCATCATTTCTTGCAAAGTAGAGAAAACATCAGTAACTTAGCTCATTAGAAGAAATGCGCAATGTATACTATCCCCAATAGAATTTGACTAAACTAAAAGCAACCAAATTGACTTGTGTGAGAAAAAACTCAGAACAATAAAATATTGGCAGATTGCAAACATGCCATTCAGGTATTATGGAAATAAGCCATCCCAAATCACTCAAAGAACAGAAATAAAGCCAACTCACTGCGTTTGAATGTCAGAGGGATTTTCAGGTAATAGCTTGTAAAATGAAGGGCACCTTTAGAGTTCCAATGTAAATTTCAACAACTTAAATCTTTCCTGCAGAGAGTAACAATCCTCAAGAATTCCAAAATAACATATTCCTAATAAAATTATGAGCCTCTTTTCTGTAAATGAATTCTGCTATTTCTGTCATGTTCAATTTTCTTTGTTTTTGCTTTCTTATTTCAAAAGTCAGCTTCAAATCTTTGTGTGTAATTAGATGGGATTTAAATTGTAAATACATTATGAGAAAAAGTATTAATATTTTCAGTATCTACTATGCACTGGGTGCTTCATCACTTAATCCTCATAACACCCTTAAAAACTATCCTCATTTTATAAAGGCCCCAACTGAAGCTTGGAGATGTCATGAGATTTTCAAATTTATATAGCTTATAAGTGATGAAGCTGAGACCATCACTTGTATCCATTCGACTCCTCAGCACGTAGTCTTTATAGTAAACAACTTTGCTTTCATTTTAGAATTTTGTTATAAGTATATTATATTTAGCATAATTTATTCTATAATAATGTATATGATATATATTCATTCACATAGCAAGATGATCTCTGATTTCAACGAGACTCTCTGACACTATTTAAACATACAGGAAGGCTTCCTATAAGTCAGTACTAAAGTCAGGTGGCATGCCTGATTTGTTGGTGCCAGCCAACACAAAAAATTTGTCCTGAGTTAATAATTCCCTTGCCAGGGCTACCTAACGCTGTCAGCATGGAGCCGGGCTTCCTCCTTCCTTATTCTTTTTTGCTTGGGTCCTATTTCCCCAATGCAGCCACTGCCTGGCAGCTATACAGTCAGCCATTTTAAAGAGCATGATAAAGTTGATTACAGTTGGTTTGTAGAGAATTTCTAATATAAACTGGATGTGGTACTTTATGCTATAGAAGGACCAGTTGGTTTAACAGGTCTTTTTTTCCACCATATACCCTCTACCTGGAATCCCTTTCTCTCTCTCACTCTTCCTTACCGGGCAAGCTCCTTTTTGGCCTTTAGATTAATCTCCTCCAGGAATCTTTCTGCAATGTCTCCTCTGTATGTATTATTTCCCATCACAACACTGTGAAGGAATGGTCTGTCTATGAGTCTGTTTTAGCCAGTATATTGAGACCTTCTCGAAGGAAGGGTTGGGTTCAATGATTGTTCAGTGCTGGTCCTTCCAGGAAAATCTAAGAATATTTTATTGCGCAAATTATATGCAATTTCCCAGGGAAAGAATTTTAAGTATTTTATAGTAAACTCCTCAAGAGCTCCTCAAGACTGTAAAAAACTATGATTATACATCTACTACTGTTCACAGAAGTATATGACAAGGTAAAAAGGAGCTTAGATTCAACAGTCACCATTCTATGAAGATATTTTTATATCTTAGTATTTAGAAAAAAAATGATGTATATTTATGGCCACTGTACTTTATTTAAGCTTTAGTCATTTAATTGACTTCTTCTTACATCTAGACTCTTTCTAGGTTTTAATAGCCACAAAATACCATCCTACCTGAGAAATATTATTTTAAAAACAGCTCTCAAGTCTTTTTTTTTTTTTTTTGAGACAAAGTCTCACTCTTTTGCCCGGGCTAGAGTGAGTGCCGTGGCGTCAGCCTAGCTCACAGCAACCTCAAATTCCTGGGCTCAAGCAATGCTTCTGCCTCAGCCTCCCGAGTAGCTGGGACTACAGGCATGCGCCACCATGTCCGGCTAATTTCTCTATATATTTTTAGTTGTACAATTAATTTCTTTCTATTTTTAGTAGAGACGGGGTCTCGCTCTTGCTCAGGCTGGTTTCGAACTCCTGAGCTCAAACAATCCGCCCGCCTCGGCCTCCCAGAGAGCTAGGATTACAGGCGTGAGCCACTGTGCCCGGCCTCAAGTCTTAATAATAGACATTTCCAAGTATATTTCCCTTTGAGCCACAAAGAAGGTGGAAACTTAGGGTAGAAACTTTATTCCTCTATCTCTCCTCAGCTGCAGTCAGGGGTCCCTTAGGGAAGAGGACTCTTCTGCCAGCCATAGGCAGTCTGAGAGGAGCTTCAGGAACCTTAACTGTGGAGGTTAATAATAATATGGATTGATATTTTTCTAGGTGTATGGCCTGTATGTTATGAAACAATGTGCTTTGCTTTTATGCATATTTGAACATGCTCAAGAAACAATCTACAGGTCATAACAACTAGAACAACACCTGTGATGAATGGAGCTCTACTTGACATGAGGGCCCAGGCCTGGAAGGTGGTCTTTGTGCAACTCTGTTTGCTTTGCATGCTAAACCACGATTTGCCACATAGAACTAATTTAGACAAATTCTAAAAAAGGAAAACTTCCAGTAAGCAGGCAGGTCTGCTGACATTTGATAATATCTAGTTGTCTGTGAAATTTTAAAAGGTACACATGCCCATGTTGATTCCTGGATAAAAAACACACAGCAGGAGTTTAGGGAATGAAAATTAGTGGTAAAACATTTTGCAAGCATTTTATATGGGATCATATGATAGCTAATATTTACAGTTCATGGCCTAGATAGTATTGGTTAATTAAAGAAATCACTTGGGATAAGGAAGCACTCAGAAATGATTGTGGGGTTTTTTTTTTTTTTTTTTACAGTTCATAATAAGCCCAGAGACTTCAAGGAACCTTTCAAAGTTCTATAAAACTGAATGTATTTTCCCTTTGGCTTACTATTTACTTGACTACAGGTCATTTATCTTGGCAGGAAAAAAATGTATCTGTCCAATATCAAAAGGCCTATAAATTTCAACCTTCTTTTATTGCCATATTATATCATACAAGAATTTTTAGTTAAATAAAAAACAATTATTTTTCTTTATATTAGAATTTCCCTCAGCTTCTGTGATTTTAGTTTCCATAATTTAAAGTGCATATTGAAAATAAATTACTTTATTTGATCACATGTAGATTTTCCATTAATGAAGTGCAGTGGTAACATTGTATATACACCTAGGAAAAATAATATATTCAGAAATAACTCCGAATACAACTGAATCTGTGAAAGTATCTTCTTAAAGATCTAGTTCCTAATAACATGAATTTGTAGTCAGGATTGTGAATTATGCATATAGAGGACAATTATTTTAGTTATAGATATTAAATTTGTTAATACTTTCTTTTCAACACTTACTTCTACATCGTATACACAGGACAAAGTCCAGCTGTACCACCTCCATTACCGACAGAACAAGCTTCCAGACCCACCCTGGCATCACCTACTCTTGAAGGCAAGTACTTTATTTTTTCTTTTCACAAAGATCTTTATCGTAGACAAAATATTAGTAATGTAGAGGAAGAAACCAAAATAGTAAAAAAGCAACAGCAAGATCCAATATGTTCCTACATATTTAGTATATCTAAACTACAATTTACTTTTTCTGAAATTCCAATTTGCTCATTTTTAGACAACCAAAAATTTTCCCTTAAGATTCTATATTGGTGACCTTTCACTTCCAGAAGGATGACCAGCTCAGTACCCTGGAATTCAAGCAAAAAAATATAGGGACAAATAGATAAAGATATATCTTGTGACTCTTGAAGTTTTACTGCAATCTGGTCAATTTTGTGTCTAAAGCTCTGGTGCCAAAGTTTCTGGGTTTAAATCTGAGCTCACCTTTTAATAGCTTTGTAAATTTGGGAAGTTACTTAAATTCATTATTCATGAGCTTTTTCATTTCTAGCATGGGATAAGAACATCACTGACATCCTAGGGTTATTGTGAGAATGAAATGGTGTGTGTATGTGTGTGTTTGTGTGTACAAATATATACATGTATACCATTGTATCCATATGTATAGTTTATAAGTGCTATATACGTTTAGGAGTTAATACTACTAATAATTAATTTTTAAAAATATTATGTTTCAAGATTTATGAAATAAAGGGAAGTGTCATTATAATCAATTTTGCTGGAAATTTAAAATCATTTCTTTAAGTCTTCATTCATTCATTCATTTCTTTAACCATTATTTATTCAATCCCAACCACAAGATATATTTTCCAAAGTACTGGGGACTCAAAGATTAACAGAAAGAAGATCTTACTTTGCCAAGACTCAATTTACAGACCTAAAAACACAAGTAATGAAAGCACACGACCAATTTTTTAGGAGTACAAATGGAGATATCTCTCCCAGATCTCAGCCCCCTTTCCACTCCTAGCACTGTCTCAGACTGAAAGGGATCTTCTGTGTGCACATGTGGACTCCCCAGGCTGCTCGTTGAAGATCCAACAGCTGCCTAGTGGCTTTGGACCCCTCAGATTAGTGGTGATGACACTTATGAGGATTCATCCAGGAGGAGGCTACTATTGTATATCACTTACCTAGAAAGCAAGGCATTTAGAACAAATCAGTTCAAAAAAGAAAAAAAAAGAAAGAGAAAATCAGAGTTATATTTCCTTTGGCATTTGGACTATAACAGCTCATTTGACTTGAGATAATTTGACACAAAACTGACAAGTGACTATCTCACTGCCCAAAATGTTCACAGGACAAGAGACAGCCTCTAAATAATAGCATCACTTTAATTTTCATGGGAGTCTAATGTTGTTGTTTCAAGATAAACATGGAGCAATGAACTCAGATTCCCCCACTTGAGGGATACTTTGATAGGTTATTCAAATGTTTTACTTTAACTTATCTCCTAGCAGAAGTTCATAAAACACCAAGTACAAAATATTTTGTCTATTAATCTGTCACTTGGAAAAGCATGTGTCATTTGTTAAGTGTGACACAAGTTCTGTTATTGTATTTATAGAGTGATTTAATTTGACATTTTATCCTAGAATCCAGTACTATTAATACATTTAAGTGAATAAAATAGAAATGTTTAAGGATCACAAGCCTTTTGTCAGTATCTACTTTTAAATACTTTTGCCAGAATCCCAGCCTTCTGAGCAGTTGGGATGATGAGCATGAGCTACTGCACCCGGCCAGTATCTCCTTTTGCAGAGAGGCAGAGTCCTGGCGCGCCTTGCACGGAGGAGGCTGCTAACACCGAGTAGCTTCCCAAGGAATCCGTATTATCAGGCAACGCTGAGATCATGGGCTTTGTCAGGGCTTGCAGATGTGCTGCCTGTGACTTCATTAACATAATTGATTAGGAACTAGGACATATTTAGTATTAATCAAGCTGTTTTTAGTGAGGCTGATTATGCCAGTCCTCTTGATGCACTATTTTAGTCTGGAGCTTCCTTAAGACCAAGTTGCAAGAAAATGGCTCTATGTAAAAAGGAGAAACTTAAACAGGGCATGAAAGTATGCTATTTGACTTCAGGAATACAGTTATAACAGGTTAAGATGGAGGGGCATACACATATTCCAATTTTAATGTTTTAAAGAAGTAGAGCTTATATATAGACTGGTGTATTAAATTTGTTCATAGGAGTTTGGAAACAATTTAGAACTTTATCAATGAAATCTAAAAAACTGTGCCTCTTATTATGGGTGCAAGCACTCTATACATCTGTAAAGCCCCTAAAAGATCTCTTTCTGTTTTTGCAGCTCTTTGAAAAAATGAGTTTCTCATTTCCAACACTCACTTTGTTCTGGGAAGTATCAGTGTACTTCTTACCTCGGGCCACTTACTTAGTGCCTTAAAGTTGTGTCTTGCCTTCCTGGAATTTCCCTGTTCCTCCCACATCACCTGCTTTGTACACCATAATGAAGTTTTTATTACTTTTAATATTTGGATACAAAGGGTCTAATTGTATATTAAATCACCTGTTTCCTTTGATTCCTACTATATTTTTTAGATTACGTTTATCCAGGAAAAATCATCTACAACAGCTTTAAAAAAATCTTATATAATAAACACCTCATGTCATCATTCTGGTTGTCATTGTTTTCAATTTGTAATTAATTATGAATGTAATTAAACTGACTTAAAATGGACCTAACTTAAATATAATGTTAATTCTCATAATCTTCCACAAATTACTAAATTTTGTGATAGAATTAACCTTTGTGCCTATTGGGAGCTCTCATTCAGGCTGCAAAGCCCACAAGTTCAAAGGGCCACTGCAGTTATCCATTAATTACCCAAATGCAGATGACCTATGTTAGGTTTTTTTCTCCAATCAAATAGTACCTTATAAATTAACATTATAGGTAGTTTTAGCTCTTAACTGGAGAGCCTTTTTTCATTAAATGTTTATTAGCATTTCCGCTAATCTCTCACCCCAAGAACTGTACTTCTCCGAAGGGATTATCCCCTCAATGCTCTCTGATGGAATCCTTAGTGGTTAAACAGAACATCTTCAGGCAGTATTGCCCACCCCTACTCAATCGCCAAGAAAGGCAAAAAAGCTGTGTCATAAAGTCCTTGTGTAAGCAAAATTACCAGATATGATCCTATTAATCTTTAATCAACAATGGCAGAAGATTTTTTTCCCACCTATGCAACAAAGACCTCCAAACATTCCATTTTTGTCGTTGATCACTGAGAAGTTAAACACTTCCACTCACATGTAATCACTGGCCATTTAGTGTAAAATTACTGAGACTCCTTTATTGTAGCAAAGACATGAAAGGAAGAAGTTAATACTTAACTTATTTTTTAATATTAATATTCTCTTATATACATACAATTTACATAAATGAAGTCAAATAGAGAAAGGTGAATAAATTCCAAACACCCTTTTTCTTGAATGAATATATAACTGGTACTTTGTATTACGATTTTAAATGATATTATAAATGCCATCAAAAGAACTCTGGAGAGAGGACCAGAGTCCTACAGTCTGATCTCAGCTTTGATACTAATGAGTTGTATGATCTTTGACTAATCAATTGACTTCTTAGGACCTCCATTTTTTCACCTACAAACTGTGGAAGTGAAACTTAAATAGTCTCTAACGTTCCTATCTGCTTTTACACCCAAAGATTCCATGATTATTTTCCGCAGGCTTGTGGATTAGTAATGAGCTACCTTAATTAAGAACAGAGTGAACCCTTCATGGCTTTGCCTAGTGGTTAAATAGCTACTGTAGACGTATAAGGTATGGTTGTGGCTTCCATAGAGATGTCAAACTTGTTGGGGCAATGAATAGTACTATGAAGCATTATTTACTGAAATACAAAAGTGAGTTGTACAGATCATAAAGGCTGTAAATGTTAGGAGGAAATGAGATATGAATGAGGCATGTCTATGTAGTAAAACCACAAATCTTGCATTGAGCCATGAAGAGTAAGTTAGTTGAATTTGTACACATGCAGAGGAGAAAGGAGCATTATATGAAATTTATTATAAGATAATTTTTTACCATAGAATGCATCTGAGGACAATTTCTACAGGAGCTAGTAATGTTTTATTTACAATTCTATTAAACTGAGAACTTTATCACCTTAGCTCTTCAGTGAGATATATCTTGAGAAGCAAAGAAACATAAAATAATAAAACAGAAATTTGGCCTCAGTTCTTATGCTATTAACTCTATGACACAATAGATTTTATTGAACTTCGGGCCAATGTAACATTTTTCTTTGTTTTATGTTGAAATAAACTCACATTTTTTGGTGATTTTTAATGGGATTGACCTTTAGTTAAAATTTTTTATAAAATATATAAACCAAGCTACTTTTAGTACGTATTTAACTAGAAAGTTGCTAAGGGATCTGTATAAGATAATGCATATCACAACTTAGCACATTTTCTAGCACAGTTAAGTACTCAACCATTAGTTGCTATTATCATTATCATTTTTATACCAGGAAATTTTTTATATATATAATTAAACCATTAATTTTATGGTAGTTTTGTATTGGTTTCCATCAAAGATAATAAGATGATTACATTCATGACATTGGTCAGTATACACAAAACTCTAATATAATTTTTTAATATAGGACTGGGGCCATATCCTGAAAGGCTTTGTATACACAACTAAAGATTTTACACCTCCTCGCAGACTGTGTGAGATTGCTTAAGCAATTGAGCAGAGAGTAGTATGGTTAGATTTGCATTTTAGGTCATGTATCAGCTATAGGAAGGATAAATTGGTGAAGAGTGGACTTGAGGGTTTGGAGTATGAAACCAATTTAGGAGAATACTTCTCATGGGAAGAAAATGATCCAACTTTTCTTTTAAACAATCACATTTTATTCTCAAAACAACTCCAAGCAGTAAATATGATTTACATCAATTTACAGAGATGATCAAAGAAATGAAGTAAATTGTCTAAGATAACACAGCCCTAAAGATGATATGAGTATAACTGGAATTGGAAG